GGAATGGGGGAAAAGAAGGCAGCTATATTCAAGTCAGTAGTACTGGAAAAAGCTATCGCATAATAAGCTTAACAGGGTCTTGTAGAAACAGTGGCCCCGTCGCCCATATCCACCCCACCCCTTCTAGTGAATCGTATTGGAGTTCTAGCTAACTGATCATCTAGAGAGACTAAACTAGTCGGCGTCCAGGTAAAGAAATATCCTGCCTGCTACCTAACACGTGTTTCGGCGCTGCTAACGCGCCTTCTTCTGAGGCTAAACAGGTGATCATTTCTTTTTTTTACCTCAGTATTGTCCCCTCTCATAAATTACTAATATGGCGATGGGTTTCTTTTTACCTCAGTATTGTCTATGCTGCATGCTACCCAGCAGCAACGTAAGATTGGCACCTACAGGGTTAACGGAGGTATCGTTCAATCAACCCACATTCACCAATCAGAGGCTGGGTTGTCATTGGGGGCGGGGCTGGATCACGTTCGGCCAATTTTGGCGCGAACGCACTGCACACGCCCCCATTATGAACTGTGTGTAAAGGGCTATTTAAGGAGCCACCGATGCTCTGATCACCTGTTTAGCCTCAGAAGAAGGCGCGTTAGCAGCGCCGAAACACGTGTTAGGTAGCAGGCAGGATATTTCTTTACCTGGACGCCGACTAGTTTAGTCTCTCTAGATGATCAGTTAGCTAGAACTCCAATACGATTCACTAGAAGGGGTGGGGTGGATATGGGCGACGGGGCCACTGTTTCTACAAGACCCTGTTAAGCTTATTATGCGATAGCTTTTTCCAGTACTACTGACTTGAATATAGCAAGGATTTATATAGTTGCTACTTTCTTACCCTATTGGATTTTATTTCAGTTAGTGGTATAAGAGACTTTTGGATAAGAGTCTATCTAGCAAGCATAGAGGAATTGTTTCTCTTTATCTAGGCAAGTTTTAGAGGTACCATCACTAAGAGAAGTACTTTACTGGTTGGGGGGATTTTCAGCTCTATTCAGCTTGAGATCCTTTAGGTGATTCCTTCAGGATTATTATCCCCTTCCAGGCATATATCCTCCCAATTTTAAACATTTACATATATTCTTTCTAAGCTTTTTGCTAGAGTATTTTTATTACAGCAACTATTAAAGGTTATGTTTTACCTCTTTTGTATATATATATAAGTATTCACCAGGGGGCGTCCTGTTTTCCCTGACCTATTAGGTCTGTCTTTCAATCAATACACGTATGTGAGGGTTATCCCCTATTTTGGCCGCCCCTAGACACACACCTAGTTGTTTCCCCGTTTGGGGTATCCAACTTTTTTTGTTTATGAAGAAAGGACTGGCAACCATAAGATTAACCATTTTGCCCCTTTAAAGGCAACAGCGTGAAAAAAGAATAGGGTTAAATTAAAATGAAAGAGCCCTACTTTAGTTGGAAATCTGATATCCTTTCTTTAGACATCCCCCAGCTTTTTCCTAAGTGAGTTTAAAATGTAACGAGATAGAATGTAATGCATATAACCTATAATCATTTAAATGGAAGCTGCTATAAAATATAAATGAATATTTAATTTGCATGACGTAAACATCTTATATCCATTTTATATGAGGTAAAGATTTTGAGTGCTACGGTATCAATGCACTCAAAATCTTTACCTTATGATATACTTCTGTTTTATATGACAGATCACCAATGCATTCTCTATTTTAAAATATATAAAATACATTTTTAATATGCAATTTCTGTATAAGCACATCAATCTTCAATAGCACAATCTTCAGGAAGCCCTTACAGGAAGGAACATTTTAAATGACACGGGCTATGAGAGGACTATTTGTAAAGCTGAGGGATTAATCAATCAAAAGAAATAAAAATGGTGTGTGGTAATAGTGTAAAAACCAGAATAGTGAGTATAAATTGGTTAAACTTAACCTGCAAATAGTAGATTTAATTCAAATCCACACTTTAAAAAGTGAGTTTTTGACCAACTTCCCTCACCGAGGTTATCGTCAGTGCCATTTACAGGAAAGTGTGTGTACTTATGATGTTCTATAGGTTCTTGTAAATCTTAACTACATAGCCTCCTAGACTGATAAAGGGACACTGCAACAAAAGCACTACAGCTCAGTGAAGTAGTTATGGCTGGATTTAATATTTTTCGATAAGCTTTTCAAATGATTTAATAATTTTGGATACATTTTTTAAATTTAGTTTTTTAAATAAAAAAAAATATGAGCATATTTTTCTT